TTTTTGATTTGGAAAACCCCATATTTCAGATCTTCTGAATCAGTCTATTTTTCAAATACATTTAAAAAATTAGAAACAAAACAGCAGTTTGCTGATAATATATTTCTGCCACCTCAGCAGGATTCCTTTGAGAAGTTTGTATTAAACATATTATCTAGACAGCAAATTGAGATAACCCTAGCATGTGCACAGCCTAGATGTTGGCAAGCTTATCCCAAAATTTGAATAACATTTAATCCTGTTAGTGGGATTTTGCCAAGTACGCACTCCTCATTTTCTACAAAATGAGCACAAAAAGTGTGAGTTCTAATCATTCTTAAAAATATATGAAAATATATCAGGATTCTCAAATTTTGTGGTCAATTTGCATGAATTGATGCCCAACGTGCCACATGGTAAGCCTTTCTGATCCAGTTGGCCAATCAATAACACAATAACACAAACCTGAAAAAAGTTTGCAGATACATGCCAACCATTCTGTGAGATCATAGGACTTGATCCAAGTCCTCTTAGTTTTCCATTTATTAAGAACATGCATGTTAATGGTATGATAGTTTTGTTTTCTTTAAACTAGCTCTGCAAGAGGTTAGAATTAGCTAATTACTTCCAGTGTTCACTTCTTAATAACAGTGGCACTTGAGTTTTTAAATTGCCTTGCAGAGAACTTCTTTCCTTTCCTCAGAATGTTTTAAAAGTTTTCTCTAACTGTATGCTTGCAAGCTATCATGTTGCTCTAACAGGTATGTAGTCAACTATTTCTAACTCCTAGTTATGCCCATTTTAGAAATAAGGGCATAAAAAATGGGAAGCATCACCATTCTGACTGGCCTTCCTCCCTTGGGTCTGGCTGGAAGAATACTTCATCTTCCATATCTTTAAATCTATGAGGGATCATTTGTATTGAGAAGTTCCATGGTGCATCTTCCTCTTTGGGCCATCAGTGAATCTTCCTCTCGATTATTGTTAAGCAATTTCTATATTTGTCCTTGAATTAATAAGACTAACATCACCCAGTCCAATTTAAGTTTACCAGACAATATTACCATACAGTATTGCAGGCTAATTCTGCCGTCTGCCAAGAGTTCGACTATGACCGGCTCAAGGTTGACTCAGACTTCCATCTTTCTGAGGTTGGTAAAATGAAGATCCAGATTGTTGGGGGCAATAGGCTGACTCTGTAAAACTACTTAGAGAGAGGGCTGTAAAGCACTATGATGCAGTATATTAAGTCCAAGTGATATTGCTCTTCATTAAAATAACAGATCTTGAGCAATCACTTGTGTCTAGATCATAGGTTGTATCAGCCATTGTTATCGCCTCCACTAAAACTCTTGTCCCAATTCTTTTTGCTGTTTTCTAAGATTCCATCTTTGATGCCAGCCCAATAGCATCCTCCTATGGCAACATCTTCCAATGAGAAACAAAACTAAATCAACTTCCAACCTCAGCTTCTTTTATCAAAAACCATTACAATAACTTTGGATGTTTGTGATAATACATGGACAAGATGCCCATGGATGAATTTGTCTATCATTTTAAAAACATGTGGTATTTTTGTTGCAAAATATGGATTTAAAATTGCTGCATAAAAAGAATATCTTAACACATATCAAACATAGAATATATACACTTTCCTTTAACATAAAAAATGTCATGCTGAAACAAGGTTCATATAGAAATTGTGGTGGATTTGAAGTTGGATAATAAAACCATTAGAGGTACTCTTAAAAGTTTTAAATATAACTTTAAAACACATGTTATATTTTTGAATTTAACTTTCAGCAAAATTACTATAAAATGAAATGTATGTGTATAAACTAAGCTGGACAAAAAAACGTATACTGTTTAACAGACAGCATGGTATTGCATTTATCTTGTTTTCAATTGTACAATCATTACAGGAACTGCATTGGTCAACATCAGGGGTGTCAAACTCGCCGTGTCACATGATATGTCGCAACATATCACAACTTTTTCCTCCTTGCCGAAGTTGGGGTGGATGTGGCTTCTGCGTGACGCATCCAGCATGTGGGCCAGCTGTCAACACTAACATCGGATGTTTTTGCTTTGATAAGTTAGGGATGCAACCATTTTCTTCTTATGTTTTAGAGTTAGATGATGCTGGGGGGCAGGGGGGAGGAATGTGCATGAGAACTTAGATAGACATAATAATACTGGACTAGGGTGTGAACCAAGGTTAATGAAATAAGAGATGATAAGAATTGGCAGGGCTGGAGAACTGGAGGGAGAGCCTGCATTTCAAACTAATTGGAGAATGTGATTTATGAATGTTAATTGGAGGAGGGAATTGTGCTTTGATACTATGTGCTCAGGGGAGGGGAATCCAGTTTTTGGCTTCGACTGTGTTAATGCCGATGCTATGCTACTCAAATAAAGATTCTTTAAGGTAAACAATGCATCGAAGTTCTTTGAAGAGTTTCCTTTTGATGTATGCCGATTGGTGTAACATTCAAAGTGACAATAAAGTTATTATTATTATCTGTCGGAACCATGACACCGGCAGTTTGACACCCCTGGTCAACGTTATCCTGTTAGTCATGGTCAACTCCAAGTTTAAAAACTGCCTGTGCAAAATGCCTTTTTTGGATAGCTCCTCTTTTCCCCCACATGGACCTTGATAATCTTATCTAACAGATTCCCAATGTGCTAGATATCCACTATATTTTTCCACTGTGCCCTAGCCTCTAAAATACTGTATAACACAGGTTTTCTTAGAAATACAAATGGTGCCTAGATTTAACCAACTGTTTCTGGTCAGTGGAATGATATAGAATGTTCAGACAGTTGCTTATGGATGCAGCTGAAGTTGCTGGCCCAGAGGTTTGCCCTGCAGCACCTTGTATAAGAAAACGATCTATAACTTACTGAGTATAATTGATTTTAGGCATGCCCTTGTCATAAGTAGATAGACTGAATCCTTCCAATTCCACATTCAAATTGTTTTTAAACCAAAGTTTTAATGTTCTTGCTTTTGCATATTAGCATCAATTTAATAAAATTATATTAACACAATATAGTAACATTTTCTTCCTTTGTATTTCATGAAAGTGTCAAGAAAGATATACAGCATCTGATATAAGATTCTGTATTCTTAATCGATTTACGTTACTTAAAACTGTGACACAACTAAAACCACCTCATTTCAAGCACATAAGATACTTGTCAGTGATATTAACAAGTTCGAAAATAAAACCAAAAATGTCATTAGTTTGCAACTGTATAAGCACTCTGAAGAGATACTAAACGCAGTGTTTCTCAACCTTGACAATTTTAAGGCATGTGGACGTCAACTCCCAGAATTCCACAGCCAGCATTGCTGGCTGTGGAATTCTGGGAGTTGAAGTCCACATGCCTTAAAATTGTCAAGGTTGAGAAACACTGTACTAAAGTAACTAATTGCTCAAAAGAACCATTAATTCTCTGGAATGCAAAACAGAGAAATAACATTTTTATTACAAAGCTTTAAACCCCCTCCCACCAATTTATGAACTGTTTGCAAGGTTTGCTGAGCTGTGTTTTTTTACTATATTGATTAAAGAAATGAGGAATAGTTTCTAATAAAATACCGATTTGATGTAAAGATAATTTTATAACATCAAAATGAAGAGAGGCACGGTAACATCAGCATATTCCATACTGAAGACACTGGTTCCTGGGAAGTTGCATCAAAGTTTATATAAACTTTTAGAATCATTCTGCTGAGAATGGAGGAAGGGAAAAATTGTCTTTGAAATTCCAATACCACCAGCAGCCCCCCAAAAAAGTTTTACCATTTATATAAGATAATAGGTGGGATGCTTCTAACAATGGGAACTAAAACCTTTCTATTCCTCAGCTTGGTCCCAAATTACAGTGAATCTAATCAGTAAAGCTGTTCATTTCCATGTATTGCAAATTGACAAGACAGGAACTCTGAAGGTGGGAGAAAGATTTCCAGCAAAATACTATTTGCATCCTGCTGGCATCGGCAGAAATTTAGATATAGTGAATCCCACCCCCCTTTTTGATTCACACAGCATTATTAACCATCCTTAAAAGGCACAGAGGCTTCTGCAAAAGTGATAATATAATTTAATCCATTTTAATAGAGGAAGAACAAGACCTTGAGTGAATGTTTTTGTGTAGGCCAGCTGCATAAATATGCATTTATTAGGGAAAATATGTAGATTATCTTTTCCTTCCACGTAAGTAGATGGATCATGCTGGCTCGGAATTTTAGTTGCAAAATATCCGAAGGGCATCAGATTAGAAAATATACATTTTATGAACAGATGTGCAATTCTGAAATTGCTAAGATTATTATCACACATGCTTAAGCACTGTACGCAAAGTGCAGCATGAGTTTGAATAGTAACAGTTTTAATGTATACTATTAAGTGATTCAAACAAGGATTTTTTTCCCTTTGAAAAACTTGTTTTCAACAAATACTCTTATTTTTAACCCAAAGTTTTAGAGGAGGGGGAAATAAAACAGGGTAGAAAAAAGGCAGAACAGAGCCCATATAAGATTAGATAATAAACAAGAGTACAAAAAAAGCAGCTTAAAATAAAGCTTTGCAAAATATTTGTGAGATAACTATTGTTCTTAGAAAAACTGATTTCCACTCCCTTTTTATATTATCTTTTATTTTTTATTTTTTTTTGCTAACAACATAAAGCAGTTCTAATCTGCAGCCAAAGAAGTGCTTTTTGAAGAACCAGAGGCCACATAATCAAAACCGTATGCATAGTATCATATTAACTGTGAAAATAAGATTCTGAAAATTGTTCAAAAAAAATAGTTGAATGTGGAAATGTTCAGAACAAAACTCTCTTCCATTTATTTGGCTTAGAAGAAATCCATAGCGGTTGGTCTTTTCTTAGCTGGAATTATAAGAGACTTCTTTATTTGAGGAGTTTCCATCAAAGAGCCAGAGGAGGACTTTAGGACCCCATGGGGTGGTTTTTGCTTAGGATTGAAAGCTACCCGGGAGCCTCCCTCTGGACTGACTAAGATACTTTTGTCTGTCTTCTTAAATTCTGTAAAGCAAAAGATTAGAAAGAAAAACATTACATGTCTTGTGTCACCTTGTTACTAGGAATGTAAAATACTTATGTGTAAGTGAAGGGAGACACACTGAATCCTTCTAATAGATGCTTTTTTTATTAGCAAAAGAGCCTCAGAATGCAAATTAATGTTTATTTTTAAACTATTCTTCACATGCTACTTGAAAATAGATGGGATCTCAGCGGACCAAAATATGCTTTTAAGCTTCTAGCAAAATACACGCATTGCTGCCATTTTAACAAAACCAATGCTTATGCAATAAGTCTCTGACCAGCAAAAACTCTTTTAACATTCAGTTTATCACGCAAATGATGTAATAACACAGGCCTTTCAAGCAAGAAAGAAAATGTCTTACCAGCAGTCATATTCTTATTTAATCCAAAGGTAACCTTTTTGGAGCTGGAAGATTGTAGCTTGCTTAACTAAAAGACAAATATAGTTGTTTTCCTGGGCCAAATCTGTATTGCTTAAAGTATTTTTCAACATCTTTATTAGAATATTGAACCAAATCACAATAAGTTACAAAGCATCAGCCAACATACACTATCATCCAATTTGCCAATGTCCTGCAAGTGGCCAGATGGCCCACAGATCAGTTTGCAAAAGCCATTCTAAAAGCAGTACGTTTGTAGAATTGCATATTTAGTTTCAGAATTGAGACTAAACAAGCAGTCTTTAGAGAACAAGGACTCCTATGAAGTGATTCATCACAATCCTATCTTGAAAAATGCCATTGTTTAAAAAGAACTCAAACTATCATTCTAAACATTCTCAAGGTATAAACTATAGAAAGGTTATCATACCGGCATGGCAGTAATGCTTCTTTTAGATTTTCTAAAGAAGGCTGGCTTTGGTAAGGCTGTCTTTTTAAACTTCACAAAATCATTCTCCACTTTTGCCTTTGTTTTCTTTATTGGAAGAGCAATACCACCAGTTTCCTGCAAGGAGAAAAAGAGCAGAAAACATGCATAACATAGTCAATAAATAGCACATAAGGTTTATGTTCACCTATTAAGAATTCTTTCATGCCTCCACCCCTCCATTTTATTTTTGTACAGCCACATTAAATACCAAGTTGAGAGATAGAGTTATAAATCCAGCAATAGCTACATGAATGCCTTTCCATGGAAACCAGTCTTAAGAAATAACATGCATAGTCTGCTTCAGGGAAGTTAAAGAATACAAGATAAATATTTTGGAAAGAGCAAAACTATGTTCTTTTTCCAAATAAAACAATTTTATTTAGGATTTGGAAATAAAATGATTTACATTTAAGGGCATGCAAAATTTGTTCAATTTAAAATGTGACCTTTACGTTTTTTCCTTATTTCTCCAATCATTCACAAGCAAACCTTGCTTAACAGATGAAAGGCATAAATGTAGCCCTGATGAAAAAGTTATCTAAAACCAAATGTTTGGTCTTCCTTTAGACCTTTGTACACACCAGATGAAGACTGCAGGAGATATGTTGGGCAGAATCATGTGCTATTTAGCTTTGCCTGTTTGTTTTCTTTTAGCTCTCATGTGGTTCAGAAGCATGCCTTAGTAGGGCTGATGTTACGGCTTTTATAACAATTTTCCTTTCAGTTAGCCAACTGATTAGCCTAAGGATGTAGAATTTTAAATTAAAATGTGAAATTACAGCATTAAATTGATGCTGTTTTATCTCTAACCAACTGGACTAGAGTAAGAATGCTCTTTTTTCCATTTCAGAAAATGGATTAAGAAATTTAGAAAATGATTTAGTTTGTTAAATTCAACACCTACTTCGTTCTTCCTCTTCTTGTTTTCAAGTTCATTTCTTTCAGTGGAATTTGGGTCTTTCTTGACTTTTCTTTGTATTTTCAAGCTAACTGCTTTCTGTTTGGAGCATGTAATCCTCCCCAAATTCCCGAACATTTTTTTTCTCTTCAACTTGACTTTCTGGAGCACAATAGGTACTGACTCTACAAGGCATTTTTTCTCTGGCAGATTAACACTCTCTTCAGAAAAAAGCTTTCCAGTGATTCCTGGCTTTGATTTCTGCTGCCTCTTCATAATTTTACCAGTGTGGCCTCCTGTAGTACAATAACTAGGGTCCTCTTCAGAGTCATAATTCTGTCCATTCTGACACACAATTTTTATAGGAACTTTTGTTAGGCTCCCATTTTTGTGGGGGGAAGGCTTCTTTATGCCATTGACTAAACATGTCAGTGACTTCAAGGAAGAATCATCACCAAGTCCTTCAATGGGAATCACCGAAGCAACTTCATTGCTCTCTGTACTTGAAGACTTCTGCCGTTTACTGATATCTGAGGATTTGTTGGCTGGATCTGGTGTTTTGGATTCAACTCTGACTGGTCTATTCTCATTATTTCTAGAGGACACAAAAGTACCAGCTGTCTGACTGGATTTTCTCTTTCTCTTCTTCTTTTTTGGTAGCCCTGTGTTGGCCTCTTCTTCCTCACTATCATTCTTTTGGGTTTGATTGTTGTCTGTCAAGAAAAATTAAGTGATATTAAGTTGAATAGCATCTCTCGTGACAAGTTGATAAGAGAAGTCTACTTTTAAACGAAGAGAAAAATATGTCTGATTATAAAAACCATGTTTAATCCTGCCATTAACTCTCATTTAAGCATTTTCAGATAGTTTGTTTAACCATTTGGGGAAAAGATTGATTTGAACCCATCATGGCAAATGGTATGCCTTTAATACGTAGTATTTTGTGTTAGCAAGGATCTTGGCAGCTGTGGATGATTATGATCATTATAATGAATTACTTTCACATCCAAACTCTTTATACTTATGGAAAAGCTCTGGGCCTATTCAAACAGCTCTGTGGCTTTCAGTCAATACTTACAATCCATTAGCAAAAGCCATTTCTGCCAACTTCTGTGGGCACTCTATTACAAGAGTTATATTTAATACGCAGTACTATTATTGACAATAAAGTTATTACTGCCTGCTTGTTACTAAGTCATACTGAGTTCAATAGGGTTTCCTTCAATGAAAATAATTATACTAGCAGCCTAAATTAGCAGATTATATGAAATTGTCTGTTTTATGCATAATGTTGAACCATAATATAATTCATTTTTGGTTTAGTGTAGTTGGCAGACCCACTCATCATGCCTTAGTGCTATGGCTGGTTCAACAGACCTCTGGCTGGTTCAACAAACAGTGATTAAAAATAAATGCTTAGTGTGATCAGGAAACAAACAGATGTCTTTTTTTTCTACCTTTTTTTCCCAACTGAGCTTTATCTAAGGGTTTGCCAGATTTTCTTTTCAATTTCCTCCTGCTGAAGCTATCATCATCCTCATCTGTAGAAACATCTTCAGGGAAATCATCTTGAGGGAAACTCCCTAAAAAGGACATTCAAGCCAAATATTCTTGAGAAGATTCTTCATCCACCTGAACATCAATACTTTTTTTTTAACTCGTGCATGTGTTTTATCATGAATACAGTATTTTACTAGCAAATAAAAGCATTTATTCGAATAAGATGGGAAGGAGAAAAAGTGAAATCAGTGGTAGGTAACCAGGGCCCCAGGCTTAATTGCAAAGAGCCTTATATCATTTAAGAGTGCTGGAAAGGTTTACAGTGCTTGTAAAATTTAAGCAACCATATGTTTATCAACATTAACATTTTAGAAGTCATTGATCATAGACATAAAATTTGAAAAATAAAGACAAAATCAGTCATCTAAATAATCAGAATGTTAATATTCTGCAGTCAATGCTATATAAAATATCTCTGTACCCAAACAATATAATGAACTACTTGTTTTTTTATAATACAATAAAACAATAGACCACTAGCAATTTTCCATCTTAAAAGAAGCCTGATAGGAAGGAAGAGTAGAGGGCAAAGGAACTGGCCTCACATATTTTTGCACTGACTCCACCAACTGTAGTGACTATGTGGCTTTTCACAGAGGGGAGAAAAAGTTCTCAAATTCCAGCTGTAAATAGAGCTGTAATCTGATTTAGGTGATAATGGAAGTCCAGATCAGGTACCAGCATATTGCCAGAACTTAAGAGAAGCTAGAAAAGGTGAGACTTGGTTTGTGCATGTCTGGGAAACCACCAGGAAATCCTAGGGCTATAGAGTTGTCTAAGACAGGGCTTTTCAACCAGTGGTACGGGTACCACCTGTGGTACATCGGCACCTGGCAGGTGGTACGCGAGCATCCTAGAAAAATGGTAGCGGGGGAGGGGAATGAGTTGAATCGGTGGCAGCACCGCACAAGCCTGAGTGAGAGATGGCTGGAGCTGCAGGGCTGTCAGGGCTCAGTGGAAGCGCCAGGATCAACGCCAGGCTCCAGCTGATGCTCAGCGCTGATCCTGGTGCTTCTGCTGAGCCCAGAAGAAGCGCCGATCAGCTGAATGTTGCAGCATCTCCAAGGTCTTGTGATTTACATTCAGATGCTTGGCAACTGATTCATATTTATGACGGTCACAGTGTCCCAGGGTCATGTGAAGTGACCAAAACCTGCTGCAACCACCCAGCAGATGGGGGGGGGGATAAAAACCAAACACCCCCCCACCCCACTCCTACTGCCAATCCTCAACAGAAATGCTCACAACAATGAAAACCTTGGACAGGAGGAAGAGTGCGGCCGGGCGGGCAGGCAGGTGTCTTGCTCGGCTGTGGCTTGGGGGGCACTTTTTTCAGTGCCATTGTAACTTCGAACAGTCACTAAGCAAACTGTTGTAAGTCGAGGACTACCTGTACATCAGTTTTTTCCTTTTGGGGGGGGAGGTCATCAAGTTTTTGACACCTTGCTAGGCGACTGGTGGTACTCAGATATTGCCATGTTCTAAAAGTGGTACAATGGGTGAAAAGGTTGAAAAGCCCTGGTCTAAGAATTCCAAAATTATGTCAGAAGAATGAAATGGCAAATACTCCCATGGTCACTATATGGACATGACCACAAAGCCATCAGAATTAGAAAATAAATCAAGAAAGTTTACTTTCACTTTTGCCTTAAGCTTTGATGTGGAAAATCATGATTATTCCTTCAAAGGACAACAAATCCAACCCTAGTGTATATTTTCTACTCCCAAAGGCTTGAACAAAATAATGCAGTTTTACCTTCTGCAAGATCTTGAAATCTGGAAAAAGAAGTGAAAAGAAATTATATTGTTTTAGTCATTTGCAAACCTTCCATAACAGAAAGTACTGTATTTATTGCTGCTGAAAAGTAAGTTAAAAAAAAGAGTGAACTTAAAGGCTAAGAGAAAAAAAGGGTGCCCAGGGAAATCATAAGAATGTCAAGAAACATACTTTTTAACCAATTTGTAGAGGCGCTTTCTGTTAAAAGCAGGTGTGTTTTTTCTGCTGCTTAACTCAAAGATTGTGTTGGCAATTGCTGCATAATCAAACTGTCAAAGAAAGAAAGCAACGTAAATCAGCCTTTTAATAATCATTTCGTTCAAAAATGCTAAAATGTTAATATCATAACACCATTCTTTTCTCTTTTTATTTACCATCCAAAATATGTACTTTTTCTCACTAGTCTAAATTCACTCAAATTCCTTCTCGGTCCCTTCATCACAGCTTGAATCCTCAACAATTAAAAAAAAATCACAATAAGATTGTGCAATTTAGGAAGATGTGGACCTTCACTGTTTATGAGCAAATATATGCTCTATTGCTCAAATGGCATGTTCCTCAGAACTTGAAGTATATACAACTTATAAATACCAAAAAAAAAAACCCCTCATATTGCATTGGTAAAAAAACTGATAGCCAGCTTGATTTAATTTCCAGGTGTTGAAAATAAAGTAGCCAGTGCAATTTATTAGTTTTAAATCAGAGGTTTTCAAACCCTGCATCAGTCTTCCCCAACCTAGTCCCACGATTGCCATAATTCTAGTAATTAGAAAGATCTAAAACTAGTATTGTTCGCTAAAAGTGGAGCCTACCTGAAGAACTGGTCCAATATTAGCATCTATATCTTCTGAAATATTACCATGTGCCTCTGAATTTGGAGACAGTTGATTTGACAAGCCCCTGCCTATATTATAAAGAAAAAAACAAAGATAAAAACGAGGTGTCAAGAGATTGAATGGATGGTTCCTATTCACTTTAGTCCCACTCACTCTTTGCTTTATGCTGCTCATCATGGGAAAAATATTCCCTGCCTTCATTTAGCTAATGAAGCTGAAAATCGCCAAGAAAATAAGGTCCTGTTACTTGTCACTGTATGACAAAATCTGTTAGAGGACCTTAGAGATCATTTGAGTATGTAATATGAGGAAATAAGGAGAAGTCCTGATATATGAGAAAACCTCTCCTTTATGACTGAATACAGCTTATAAATAGTGTTTTCAGCAGAGATAGTATATCTGAAATCAGTGTTTGGACCTGGAGGAAGTAAAAGAGAATACAGCCTTTTATAAATATTGGATAGAGGCTTGTTAGAAGGCAAACTAAACTTTAAATTCTGCTTAGAAAACAAACAGGTGTCAGGAAGTATCTCTCTAGAACAATGGATTCTTTTAATTTCTATTTCCTTCTAAATGAACTGGAGCCTTTTAGATTCACAGAACTTTCTGTATAGTGCTAACAGAAAGTTCTGTGCAGAAAACACTGGAATAATTTTTCTAGATGTTTCCAAAGCAAGTGTTAGGGACACCAGATCCTCACCTCTGTCCATTTCTATATCTTCTTTGTCACTCCATTTCTCGTGTTCTGAGGAACTGTCAACATCACTGCCAGTTTCTAGTTCTTTCATTAAATCTTCGATGGCAAATGGGGACTGATCCACAATGGTTTCAAAGATGCCACAGATTATGGCTTGCAGCATAAGATGACTGAACAGTAAAAAGATTGGGGGGGGATATAATTAGGGAATGTGGTTAGTAGATCCTCTTTGTAGCCTAACGCTTAGCTTAAACAAGTTCTGAGTCATTCGGAAAATAAGAAAGGAAAAACTGACAATCACATGATTATAGTTATCTAATCTTCCGAGGTGTGCAGGAGGATCAAGAACAATCATGTCTATAATCGCTACATAGAAATGGATGTTGTTGCTATAGTTACACATACTTTCATTTTGAGGTATGTTTAAAGAAAAACCTGTATTTCTCTCATAGTGAGCATGCTGCTATCTCTTCACAATAGCTTTTCCTTTGTTCTGCACTCCCATTCAGATTTTTATTGACTGTTTTTAAAAAAGCAAGTTAATATAAATATTGTTAAGATTTGAACATACTCCTTGGTCCTTGCAAGGATTTTGCAGAATGGTTCAATAAACTTAATGTTCTGGTCTGCTGTGAGCTGTAAACATAAAATACAAAAAATTAATTCAACATAATCTTTATCAGTCAATTCTAAAATCATTATCCAAAATCCAAAAGATACCCAAAACTGAAACAACTTATTCCAGAAGAAAAAAGAAATAACGAGAAAAGTAGAGTTTATTTGGAATGATTACATAATCAACTGAAATACTTTCAGAATTTTCAGCAATTCTTAATCTGTAAATTGTTATTTCAGCATTTACTGGTACTGATATTAGTACAGCAATGACTTTGTACTACTTCTAATATAAATATCTGAAACCAGAAAAAATAGAAAAGACATTACTATTACCCTCACTCCTTGCACAACTGCAGTTTATTATTTATATATAGTAGGGCAGCCCGAAAGGGCAAAGCACTACCAGTAAAGGAAAAATATTTATTGGCATAAGATGTTCTAAAATAAAGAAGAATTGTTAAATACAATATATATATGTTTTAAATATTGTTACATATAGCTACAGATAAGCTGACTCTTGAAATTTACATTAAAATACTGTATAGTATTACAGCCATAGGAATCAGGGCATTGTCACACTTCAGTGAACACCTTTTGCTGACAAGGTTTGTTTGATGAAGCCTATGGATTTGTTTTTACTTAAAAAATAAACAATAGGGAAAAGAGAGAATATGTTAGATTTAGAGGTGACAAGCTATTAAAATGTTGTTGTTTTTTTACATACAGGGGTTAATGGGTAAAGTTAACTCTTTTCCACACTTGTTTCTTTTCTGTTTCAAGTTTTATTTGCTTTTATTTCTTTCATGTATACAAAACTAATTGGAAACCAGGGCGCCGTTCACAAGATAAAATAAACTGAGCTTTAGATAGTAAAAATTTGACACCACCGATTTCAATATATTTTATAAAGAAGTGTGGAAAATGAAAATATTGGCTATTGTTGTTTTATGCAAGGTTTAGGCCCAGGTAAACTAAACCAGGCCTCATGGACAAAGTATTGAACCAAAGTCTGTGCTATGCTTAATTTTGCAGTTTGCAATTTTACTTTACTTAATATGATTTTGCTAAGCTTGCTTGTTTCAGATATATTTAGAACATAAAGTCTGGAACAGTAAGAAATAGGGAACTTAAAGTAGCTGATGGATGTGGGTTCCAATGTACACAGACATATGTGGAAAGTTATGTTCAGCAGAAGGTCAGCAGGAAGTCAGTAGAAAGTCAGCAAAAGTGAGCAGACCATCTGACTACAGTCTTTGAACGAGAAAGGGTATAAAAAGTTGGGTCTGGACCTGATTGATTTGCCATTGGCCTATAGCTATCCTTTGGAGTGCTATGTCAGTGGACCTCATTACAATGGGTTATTAATGTAAGTGATGCTGTGTTTTATGCTTGCTATGTTCCAAATTATTAGCAAAATAAACCTCTGAATCTTAAAGTAAGAATTATTGTTTTGTGTTGCTGTCTCTCGTCTTTTTCATTGGGTTTTTCCACGACAGAAGTAAAGTGTAATAATCTTTCCCTAACTTGATGCTTTTCAGATGGAGAAGCCTAAATGTCATGTAATTTACTACTGACCTCTTTAGCTCCAACTTTAGCCAGTTCTTCCAGATAGATGTCAATGAAATGCAATTTAATACCAATGGGAGCATGGCTGTCTGGATGCATAACTTCCATCATTAACACGTTCAGAAATCGTTCAATTAAACTGGAAAGAAATGTAAAAAAAAGGTTAGTGGCATAGGCTATTCAGTTGCATTACATCATATAATCTTTTGTCAGGTCCCAAAAAGTGCTCACCTAAATACATTTGGCAAAGCATGGACCAGATGGTTTCATCTCCATGTAATGTAGGAACAAGAAAAGCCCGAAACTGAAACGGGACCCAAATCTCTTACCAGTATACGCTTTTTAAAAATAGTTAGCTGAGAAGACCTGATTTTAATACTTCATTTTAAAAGGCAATCCTATATCTTGTATCACGATTTCACTGAGCAGGATACGTATCATAATTAAAATTGAAGAGCTACTGTATTTTATAAAAAATATGTAATTGTACACTTTAATGGCAAAATTAATGCAACTTCCCCGCTTGGTTTCAATTGTGTGTCTTCTTTGATATAGAATAATGGGAGGAGTTATATACAGTAGTGGCCAAAATTGTGGAAACCTTTTGGGAAAAGTGTATTTTTGAGGTTTGATGGCTAATAACACCACTTTTTTTTGGAGTAGTACCATAAAATTATATATCAATGGAAAGATAATTTAATCAAGAATGTAATGCAACATAGTTTGTTCAATTATCTGTACTGTATTCTATGAAAAGTTATAGCCAAATAACCAGAAAAAGGAAACACAACTTGCTTAGGTTGATATCAGGTAGCTTTCCTTCATCTGATTGTAGCCAATGAGCATATTTAGAGAGCCAATCAGGTGTCATCTTGTTTTGGCAATGAGCCAATCAGATCACAGTAGGATTCAGTTATTGATGTCATGTATTGAAGCTGAGAAGAGGACATTTGTCAATGTGTTATGTGATTACTATCAAGTTGTTGGGGTTTTTTTTCTTTCATTTAGTGAGCTTGTAAAACATAATAAAATTAAAGTAATGGTGCAAAGAGTTGACTGGTTGCCCAGAAAGCGAAGTAAAATAGTATTATTAAGTGAACAAGGCTACAGTTATAAAGAAATTAGAAGAAATATTGGTGGAAACTTAACCAAAGGTGGCATTTCTACTGTACACTTTTTCCAAAAGGTTTCCACAATTTTGGCCACTACTGTATGAGGGGGGAATTAAACAATGAAAGCATAGTGTCTTGGATTTTACAGGTTGTTGGAAAAGTACTCATTCATTTTGCCAGATGCTAAAAATAACAGAAATCTGAAGCAGAATGCCTGTACTAGCAAATGCAACTGATATAAAATCTGGACGAAGAATGGTCAATAAAGCATTCTTGGTTGTCTATTTTATCTTTATCTGTACAGTTGTCCATGACTTACGACCAAAATTAGCCCAAAATTATGATAGTTAAGTCATTGTGGTTGCTAAGCAAGATATCCATATGCCCATATGCCCCTCACTCAACAACTGTAATCTCAGCTCTCCCCATTGTGGTCATTAAGTGAAGTACAGGGCACCTCAGGGTGGGGGAGGCCCTGGGACACCTGGCACAGGCCTGCATTCTATTTCAAGACCAGGCCCCCACAACAGCACTTCACCAATTCACATGTGGCCTGTGTTCCCAGGCCTCCCTCACCCCAAGGTGCCCTTTGCAAAGCTTTTCACCTGCTAGATCCCCACAGAACCTGGGTTTGCTTCCCACCTGGCTGAGTCCTCACAGGCCTCAGGTCTGCTTCTGGTCCTATTGGGTTCACACTGACCTCAGGCCTGCTTCCCACGCTTCTGGGTCCCACAGTTTTGGGCCTCCTTGCTGCCCATCATGCTTTCCTCCACTTACCCGTATTTTTCGCACCATAAGACGCATCTGACCATAAGAC